CGAGAGAAGATTTCCACAGAAAATCGCATGAAATTCCAAAAATGCCATTGTCGGTGAGTTGAGGTGCAATCATCGCAGTTCGACTTTGCCCGGAAACACAAACTACTGAATAGTGTGAATACTGATTCAGGGGAGGGAGAATAGTAATGTTCTTCTTCGATTCCTCTGCTTGATTGGTAGGAGGTACGTCAATTCGCCTCTCTTATTCTCGCTTTTTGTTCATTCTCGGATCTGTAGCTCTAGATCTGCTGCTGCTGGGTCTCTTGCTCGTCATCTGATTCGTGGTGTAGATCTTGGTCAGCTTTCTCGCATCGGAAGAAGCAATGTTTGGCCGATCTGCGATTTCCAGGGCCGGAGGTTTCCGTCCTGAGAACTTAGGGCAAAATGCATTGAACTTGATTGGGAACATAGGCTTCTCATTGTTCGTCTTTGGGGTACTAGTGTTCACCATCATCGCCGCAACTTACGAGCCAGAAGACCCTCTTTTCCACCCATCTGACAAAATCACAACTTTCCTCACATCCACATCCAACGCCACAATGATATCCGATGACTCTGTTGTTAAAACCGGCGAAGATTTCATGACTGTTAACCAAACCGCATTCGCCGAGTTTATCAATATCACCGATGTTGAGACCACCACTGAGGAGAAGACTGAGTCTATGCAGTTAGATTGTGATGTTAGTAGCCCCATTGATTGCAAAGATTCTGAGGTTTTCCACCTCATGATGAAAGCTACAATAGAGAAGTTTAAAGACATTCATTTTTACAAATTTGGAAAGCCTGCAGTTGGGGAAGGTGCCAATTCGTGTGATATGGCGTGGCGTTATAGGCCTAAGGATGGGAAGAGTGCTGCTTTTTACAAGGACTATAGGAGGTTTGTCATTGGAAAGTCTGAGAATTGTACTCTCAGTGTGGCAGAAATCGGAGAATACCATTCGGGTTTGAATGCAAGGAAGAGGAAGAAGAATCAGAAAGCTGGGTTTGAGAAAACGACTGGAAAGAAAGATGATTTCTCCTTGCCTGTCGTTGGTGAAGCAGTGAATGATTCTCTTCCTATGGTTGAATCAGAGAATGCGTTTAAAAGTGGAAAGTACTTGGTTTATGTGGGTGGAGGAGATAGGTGCAAGAGCATGAACCATTTTCTGTGGAGTTTCTTGTGTGCACTTGGCGAAGCACAGTATTTGAACCGGACTTTGGTAATGGATTTGACTCTCTGTCTTTCTTCTATCTACACATCGTCTGGCCAGAACGAGGAAGGAAAGGACTTCCGGTTTTACTTTGATTTCGAACATCTGAAAGAAGCAGCTTCCGTCTTGGATGATGTTCAGTTTTGGTCACAGTGGGGGAAATTGCATAAGAAGAAAGATAGATTGAACCTTCATCTCGTGGAAGATTTTAGGATCACGCCAATGAAGCTTGCTGATGTCAAAGATACCTTGATAATGAGGAAGTTTGGGAAAGTAGAACCAGACAATTATTGGTACAGAGTTTGCGAAGGAGATGCAGAATCTGTTGTACAAAGACCATGGCATCTGTTATGGAAATCAAGAAGGTTGATGGAAATTGTCACTGCGATTGCATCTAGGTTAAATTGGGATTACGATGCTGTACACATCGAGAGAGGAGAGAAAGCAAGAAACAAGGAGCTTTGGCCTAATCTTGAGAAGGATACGTCCCCGAGCGCTCTCTTGTCAACCTTGCAGGACAAAGTAGAAGAGGGAAGGAATCTCTACATCGCAACAAATGAAGCAGAATTTTCGCTCTTCAACCCTTTGAAAGATAAGTATGCCACTCATTTTCTTGACGAGAACAAAGATCTGTGGGACGAGAGCAGTGAGTGGTATTCAGAGACTACAAAGCTTAATGGAGGCAACCCGGTCGAGTTCGATGGTTACATGAGAGCATCTGTTGACACAGAAGTGTTCTTGAGAGGGAAGAAGCAGATTGAAACATTCAATGATCTTACAAACGACTGCAAAGATGGAGTTGGGACCTGCAACGTTGCAGCTACTTGATCTCTCTCAGATTCCTTCTCTGTTTGTTGTTTGAACCATCTTGTTCCACTTGTTTCCAGTTTTGTCCTTATAGAATGGTTTTTTTTTTTTTCCGTAACTGTTGTTTCGTCTGTTGACTTTTAGACCAATATTTGCCATTTTGGCTCTTTTAGTTTGGTTCTATTTCTTTGCAATGCAAAATCTGAGGGAAGAAGAGATGATATGGTACACAAAATCGATTTGGTACAATGAAGAACGATATCATTTGATACAACTAGCAAAAGTGATCCGAACTAGAAAAAATACTTCATCGTCTTTGTTTACCACTGGTCTTCTCCTTCTTGATCGGAAAAAGAGTGAGCTTCTTCTTGCCTGAGGAATCTGCTATGGCGTCAGCTTTCTTAAGCAGTGAAATGGCAACTTGATGCGGTCTTTCATTTATCGTCTTCTCATCCATGAACGGTTTAACCTCAAAGGTTCCTCTGGTGAAATGTCTAGCAACCTACAAAAGAGATTTGTGCCAGAGAACAAATAATCAGACACAACCTCATTAATGCAAACTTCTGCCTAAAGTGAATCACATTAAAGGAGGACGAATGTTGAAGGTACCTTTAAGAGAATCCATACTTTCAGGGAACTACTGAGGATTGCAAGCCGTGTTCTCTTCCCCGTAGTCAAGAAGCTGGACATATGACTGTCCACCCGCAATATGAATCTTGGCCAAGACTTGGGGTTTTCTAGGTCTCCTCTTTTCTCCATCTTTGCCTGAAACATTTAGATCGTCATGACATGCAACAAAACATCATTAAAGGATGGTCTAATATTTTGTAAAGGAGAAGAACAACAGTAGCCAACAACTACGATCCTTTATACTAGATGTTATTATTTAGTTGGCAAGAGAAGTAACAGAAAAGAGCAAAGAGATGGAGATTGTGTTGTTGATACACTCACTAGCTGCCGACAAATCTCTTGTTCAATTTTTGAAAAGGAAGTCTCCAGTGCCTCAACTCTACCAGTTGCGTGACAGCAAGAACATGGTTCACTGATCATGAATGTTACACTCGGCCGAACCTGTGAACAAAGAGATTTGATTAGAAGCTGTGCAGAAAGAGTAAATCATCCATAAGTTAGGGAAAATTGGGCTTATACCCTTTTTCTTGTTATTTCCATGAGTCCATGTCTAGACAGCTCTGAGACTTTTACCAGTGACCTATCTCTCTCCACTGCTTTCTTAACTTCTTCATAAACAAGTCTCTTATTTGCTGAACACACCAAAACAACAAGAGTATGCAAGACTCCATCATTAATGTAAAAGATTTCCCCATCTACAAATTTTGAAAATATGATTGCGCAAATAATAATGACATTTTAACTCACATTCATCTGCCATGTCGATGAAATCTACCACAATGATACCCCCTATATCTCTCAGTCGGATCTCCCTTGCAATCTGAATCATGATTGTATCGAGTATCTACTTAATAAACGCTTTGTAAGATTAGAGTATTGCAAAACGTGAGAAGAATTCAATGAACTACACAAGGCAAGCAGACCTCACACAGTTACTCTTTCTCCCTGTTAAAAGTATCCTAAGGCAATTACTAACCATTTCATGATTCATAAACCCATAACTATGCTTGTATCTGACTTCATGACGCGTATTAAATAATTAGTAAGGCACTTTTCAGAGGCAGAGTTTCTGCCGCAAAAGGTTGGCAAATGAATATGTAATCTAGCAGCCAAAATGTACCACATACTTGTCTACCGGCAGTAAGGTTAACTTCCAAAATAGCTTTCTCCTGTGAATTACCCTGACCAAACATTCCATGTCCTCCGTTGACATCAATAGAGACCAACGCCTCGGTTTGTTCAATCACTAAAGAACCTCCATTGGGAAGTGGAACTCTGCAAGAGGCAAAAGATCATTTACATGAAGATAAGGTTGGTCATAACTCCACAACAACGCAGTGTCAACCACTTCTTACCTTTTACTGAGAATACCTTCTATCTCCTCCTCAATGTTGTATAAATCAAAAAGAGGGATACCCTTATCATGCAACTCCACCCGATCACAAAGATCAGGTGCCATATCCTGCAGGTAGTTTGTGACCTGGAAAGTAATGCTAGTTAGTGAAATGGTTTGCATACAGTACTAGCCTCTTGGGTAACCCGTTCTAGATCATGGCAAATTTTTAATTATCTGCAAGTGCAAAAGTTGGTAAGGAAAGAAAAGAAATGACACATGTAACTGGAGCGTTTACATAAGCATTTGAAAAGATATATGTAAATCGACTAATGTATGAGAGTTATAAGATCATAGTTTATGACAGGGAAAGGTCTCCTTCAACACACTATTCATTTCATATTATGGAAAATGCACTCGAGCAGATGGAGGCAATGTACCTCATGATATGTCCTGGGAGAGTCAACCACCATCTTCTCAACCTAGAAAAAATCAAGATATTACTGTCACTTGACATGTCAAACATTAGAACCTAAAGGGGCCATCAGATGAGAAAAAAATATGGACAGTGGCCTAAGTACCTTGTCATTAAAATAGTCCTGCACAACTGAGAGTGTTTGACCCATCGCTCTATGTAGCAGTGCTGGAATGGCTCCTTCCACACCTTCATCTGCAGCAAGGGCTGAAGATTTTGCTTCTTCCGTAATGTGCTTCCAGGTTAAAAGCAGACCTTCCAAGTCTTTCTGCAGTTCTTCTAAAGAATGGCCAGCAGCTACAGTCCTAACAGTCAGGCCAAAACCTTGAGGCTGCAATGTTTTTGCTATAACTTTTAGCCGGGTTCTCTCAACTCCTGAAATTTTTTTTGAGACTCCAATTCCTTTGCAACGAGTCATTAATACCTATAAGGAAAAACTTTATTC